TCCAAATGAATTTCCATGTACATGTGCATAATTTACATGTGCATTAATGACCAAATTTGTGGATGAATATCTACAAGCTCAGGACAAATTTACATGTGCATGTGCATGTCTAATTTGTGGACATAATTGGCTCATCGAACTAATCAATGTATGACTTAAAATAGTTAATACTGTTAGAGTATCTCGCTGTTAAATTGCTTACCTTTAAAAAGTAAGCCATTAAATTGTTTACCTTTAAAATAGTTAATATTGTTAGAGTAACTCGCTATTAAATTACTTACCTTTAAATAACATCCAAATTTTATCTATTTACATAACTAGTATGCATATTACTTTTTGAACTATTAAGATGCTGTATTTTGAGCAAATCAGAGTCAAATTATTGAGAATTTGACAAAAAAAATACATGTTTTAATTTTATTGTGCATTTTTATATTTGATGAAAATTTAAAAAATGATAATTAGAAGTTTGTTAGTTTTGTAAGTAGCCAAATTTGGAGTGTTATGTTTATATTAACTTTTATACTTTGTGCATAATTTATATATGTGTGTACATAACCAATTTGCAGATGAATATTTATAAGCAATGGACAGATTTGCATGTGCAAGTGAAGGCCAAATTCATGGAAAAAATTTGCTCGCCGAATGGATTAATGTGTGGATTAAAATAGGTAATACTATTAGCGTAATTCCCTATGAAATTGCTTACCTTTAAAAAAATAGCAACTTCTCACCTCAAATTTGATGTTCAATTTTCTTTCTTGCCTAACAGTTTTGGTGATAAGAGCTTTATTTAGTTCTTCTGTTACTGATTTATTTATAAAAACTAAACAGAGTACTGAATTTGACCATAAAACAAAAATGTAACAAAATAAATTTATTTAAAAGTGTGGATAGTTAATTCTATAAAATTATCAGCCATATAGAACTCATTACATATTTTGTATTTACTCATTTTCCGCACTAAATTTTCTATGGATCCAAAATATCTACAAGCTCCAAAAGAATTTGCATGTGCATGTACTGACCAAATTTTTTGTATGAATATATACAAGCGCAGGACAAATTTGCATGTGCATGTGCATGCCAAATTTGTGGACAAAATTGGCTCACCTAACAGATCAATAGGTGAATTAAAATAGGTAATACTATTAGAGTAACTCGTTATTAAATTGATTACCTTTAAAAAGTAGCAACTTCTACTCTAAAACTTGTTACTCAATTTCCATTCATGCTAAATTTCTTTGGTGGTGAGAGCTTGATGTACTTCTCCAGCAGCTGATTTAATTATAATAACTAAATATAGTGTTAGATTTGATCATAAAATAAAAATGTAACAAAATAATTTTTTTAAACGCGTAAATAGTTAATAATTCTATAAATAGAACATCCACAAGCAACTTCATACCTACTTTTCATTTACTCATTTGTCACACTAAATTTGCATGTGCTTGTGCAGGCCTAATTTGTGGATGAATATTTATAAGTTTAGGACAAATTTGCATGTGCTTGTGCAGGCCTAATTTGTGGATGAAATTAACTTGCTGGACTAATGTGTGTCTTAAAATTGGTAATACTATTATAGTAACTCAATATTAAATTGATTATCTTTAAAAAATAGCAACATCTTCTCTAAAATTTTATGTTCAATTTCTTGTTAAATTTCTTTGGTGATTATAGCTTGATGTAGTTCTTCTGCTGCTGGTTTAATTATAACAACTAAATGGAGTATTGGATCTGATCATAAAATAAAAATAAAATAAAATAATTTTATTTAAATATCTGAATATTTAATAATTCTATAAATATATCAGCCACAAGAAACTACATACTTATTTTGTATTTACACATTTGTCGCACTAAATTTGCGTTGAATCCAAAACATCTGCAAGCACCAAACGAATTTTCATGTACATGTGCATAATTTACATGTGCATTAATGACCAAATTTGTGGATGAATATCTACAAGCTCAGGACAAATTTACATGTACATGTGCATGTCTAATTTGTGGACAAAATTGGCTCATCGAACTGATCAATGTATGGCTTAAAATAGTTAATACTGTTAGAGTAACTTGCTATTAAATTGCTTACCTTTAAAAAGTAGCAACTTTTGCTCTAAAACTTGATATTCAATTTCCTTTGTTGTTAGTTAAATTTTTTGGTGATGAGAGCTAGATGTACTTCTTCAACTGCTAGTTTAATTATTGCAATTAAATGGAGTGTTGGATCTGATTATAAAATAAAAATATAGCAAAATAAATTTATTTAAACATGTAAATAGTTAATAATTCTATAAAATTATTATTATAGATCTTAAACAACTCTATACCTATTTTGTATTCGCTCATTTGTTGTACAAAAATTGTGTTAGATCTAAAATATCTACAAGATCAAAACAAATTTGCATGTGCCTATTTTGTGCATACTTTACATGTGCTTGTATATGTCTAATTTATGAATGAATATCTACAAGCTCATGACGAATTTACATGTGCATGCCTAATTTGTGGACGAAATTAGCATCCCAGACGGATTAATGCATGACTTAAAATATGTAATACTATTATAATAAATAACTGTTAAATTCTTTATCTTTCAAAATGCACAACTTTTGCCCTCAAACTTGATATTAAATTTCCTTGCTTTGCCTAATTGCTTTAGTAATAAGAATTTAAAGTAGTTCTTTTGCCGTTAATTTATTTATATCAACTAAATAAAGTATTGGATCTGACCATAAAATGAATATGTAATAAACTAATTTAATTTAGATGTGTGAATTATTAATAATTTTATAAAATAATTGGAAATAAACAACTCCATACCTATTTTTTATTCCCTTATTTGCCGCACTAAAATTGCTTTGCATGTGCATGTGCATTCGCCTATTTTGTGCATATTCTACACGTGCATGTATAGGCCTCATTTATGTATAAATATATATGAGCTTAAGATGAATTTGCATATATACATGCAGGCCTAATTTGTGGATGAAATTGATTCACCTGACGAATTAATTTGTGGCTTAAAATATGTAATACAATTAGAGTAACTCGCTATTAAACTGCTTGCCTTTAAAAAAGTATCAACTTTTGCCATCAAACTTGATATTTAATTTTCTTGCTTGCATAATTGCTTTGGTGATATAATTATTTTGGTGATGAGAGATTGATGTAGTTCTTCCATTGATGGTTTATTTATAGCAACTGAATGGACTATTGTATCTGATCATAAAATGAAAATATAACAAAATAATTTTATTTGGATGCGTGAATAGTTAATAATTCTATAAAATTATCAGCTATCGACAACTCTATACCAACTTTGTATTAGCTTAGCAGTCGCACTAAATTTGTTTTGGATCCAAAATGTCTACAAGATCTAAACGAAATTGCATATGCATTGCATATGTCTGTTTCATGCATAATTACATGTACATGTGCAGCCCGAATTTATGGATGAATACTTATAAGCTTAGAATGAATTTGCATGTGTATGTGCATGCCTAATTTTTGGATGGAATTGACTCGCTGGATGGATTAATGCGTGGCTTAAAATATCTAATACTATTAGAGTAATTCACTATTAAATTTCTTTCCTTTAAAAAGTAGCAACTTCTACCCTCAAACTTGATTTTAAATTTCCTTACTTGCCTAATTGCTTTGGTAATGATAGCTTGATGTAGTTCTTTCATTGTTGTTTTATTTATAGCAATTAAATGAAGTATTGGATCTGACCATAAAACAAAAATGTAAGAAAATAATTTTATTTAGATGTGTCAATAGTTAGTAATTCTATAAATTTATCTGGCACAAACAACTTCATACCTACTTTATATTCCCTCATTTGCTGCACTAAATTTGCTTTGGATTCAAAATATCTACAAGTTTTAGACGAGTTTGCATGTGCATGTGCCTATTTTGTGCATAATATGTATGTGCATGTATATACCTAATTTGTGGATGAATATCTACAAGTTCAGGACGAATTTGCAGGCACATGTGCAGACAGGGGCGGAGCCAGAAATTTTTTGTATGGGGGCACAAATTAATATTAGACATTAAATTATTCTTAAAATATAATTTGTATTCATTATAAACACAGATCATGAGTCATATTTTTAATGAAAAATTATAAAAATACATTTAAAATTATATGCATTCCCATTAAAAAAAATAGATATATCATTTTATATCTTATTATTTATGGGTTGGGAGAGAGAGAGAGAGAGAGAGAGAGAGAGAGAGAGAGAGCACGCTGCCTAGTGCCAACTTCAGAAAAAAAATAAAATTAGGCGGAGGCGGTGGCGGAACAAGAGCAGAGAATTAGTTTTACAAATTAAATTAAATCTTATATCTATTAATAATTATATTAATGTAATTTAAAATAGCCTAATTTTTATTTTTGGGCCAGTGAGAGCCCGTGCCCCTAGGGCCCCCACTGTAGATCCGCCCCTGTGTGCATACGGATTAATAAATGGCTTAATAGTGGATGCATAGTGTGAGAGCGGGCGGCACTGCGAGAACTTTTTGATTGCATGAAATTGTTGAACGCATTCTAATGACAGTATTAAACCACTTCACAAAATCTACTGGCTTCGAAGAATAATTTCGCGTATTTGTTGGCTCCAAAAAATAATTTGAAGTATTCTAAAATACGTAACGTTCGTATTTCTCACATTTAGGTATTAAGATTCGACCTCTAATTTAATTAATATTCCGCTCCATTCACAAACTTTTCCTTTTTACAAGCGGCAGCGATTATAAATCCGCTAATTCCGGTCCCACGGAAGACGGAACGCGCCCATTCCCCCGAGCCGCTGGAATTAAATCCGTTAATTCCGGTCCAAGGTTCCGCCACAAGTCTCCCGTGGTTTCGTTTCGACCAGAAATTAGCAACGGAAGCCTCTTCTGCTATTTAAGTTCCCCCCTTCCTGATCTCTCTTCCCACACCCTTTCGATCAAACTACGAAATCTTCTCTCTGCCCTCAACTCCTCCCATGGAAACCAAGGTAGGATCCGTAGACGTACCGTCGAAAGCAGCAAACGGCGGTGTTGGGAGCATTCCGATGTCCTGCAACACGGTGATACCAGCGGCGCCGGCAGGGAAGGCCACCCTCGGCCGCCACCTCGCCCGCCGCCTCGTCCAGATCGGCATCCGCGACATCTTCTCCGTCCCGGGGGACTTCAATCTCACGCTTCTTGACCATCTCATCGCCGAGCCCGGACTCACCAATGTAGGATGCTGCAACGAGCTCAACGCAGGGTACGCAGCCGATGGGTATGCCCGCGCGAACGGCGTCGGAGCGTGCGTCGTCACCTTTACCGTCGGTGGGCTCAGCATCCTCAACGCCATCGCAGGAGCCTACAGCGAGAATCTTCCCGTCATCTGCATTGTCGGTGGTCCGAATTCCAATGATTATGGCACCAACCGAATCTTGCATCACACCATCGGCCTCCCCGATTTCTCCCAAGAGCTTCAATGCTTTCGGACCGTCACCTGCTTTCAGGTATATATACATGGTTTACCAGCGATTGTACCAGCTTTCTGTTTGCAAAATCTTTTTTTTTCCCGTTAATATGAAATCGAAGTGTTAATTTGTAGGCGGTTGTGAATAATTTGGATGACGCTCATGAGCTGATCGACACCGCCATATCAACTGCTCTCAAGGAGAGCAAGCCAGTTTACATCAGCGTTGCATGTAATCTTCCAGCCATTCCCCATCCAACCTTCTGCCATGAGCCAGTTCCATTCTTCCTAACTCCGAGGTTCTGAATTGTTCCTTCTCCACCTACGTTTCCCTGTTCTATTAAGGAGCACGAATTAATGATTCATTCATTCCAAATTTTTCCGTGAGCTCAAAATTTTATTAATACTAAAAATATGATTGTTATTGTACTTTAAAGTTGAAAATAGATTTTTTGGTTGAAGATGCCCATATGTTATAGCTAGAAAAAGACGGAACACATAATAAGCTTTTAAAAAATTAGATTACACTTTTGTGTTTAAAAAATCTCTTTTAGAGAACGGTATTTAATCGAACTATTTAAGGTACCGCAATTATGCTATATATATAAGGTTAGCGAAACCATTTGTACAGATTGAGCAATAAAATGGGTCTCGAGTGCGCAGTGAAGGCCGCCGCGGACTTCCTGAACAAGGCGGTGAAACCAGTGCTGGTGGGCGGGCCAAAGCTAAGGGTGGCGAAGGCCGGGAAAGCCTTCGTGGAGCTTGCTGATGCATGTGGGTACCCCGTGGCCGTGATGCCTTCGGCAAAAGGATTGGTTCCCGAACAACTCTACAGGTTCATCGGCACCTACTGGGGCGCCGTAAGCACCACCTTCTGCGCAGAGATCGTCGAATCCGCCGACGCCTATCTCTTCGTCGGACCAATCTTCAACGATTACAGCTCCGTCGGCTACTCCCTCCTTCTCAAGAAAGAGAAGGCCATAATCGTCCAACCAGACCGTGTGGTGGTCGCCAATGGCCAGACTTTCGGGTGCATTCTTATGAAGGATTTCCTCCAGGCGCTATCGAAGAGGTTGAAGAAAAACACAACTGCTTATGAGAATTACAGCCGCATCTTCGTGCCGAATGGACATCTTCTAGAATCCAATCCCAAGGAACCTCTGCGGGTAAATGTCTTCTTCAATCACATACAGAATTTGCTTTCAAGTAGGACTGCGGTGATCGCAGAGACCGGCGACTCCTGGTTCAACTGCCAGAAGCTCAACTTGCCGGAAGGTTGCGGCTATGAGTTCCAAATGCAGTATGGCTCTATTGGCTGGTCGGTCGGAGCAACACTTGGATATGCTCAGGCTGCCAAGGATAAGCGCGTCCTCGCCTTCATTGGTGATGGAAGCTTTCAGGTAACGTATTCTGTCACTATAGAGATACACATGGAGTGGACAAGTGGGTATTCAATATGTTTTATGTCCGCGGAAGTTCACAAAAAACGAAACTAAAGCATAGGTAAACGCAATAAAAAAGCGTAGTTAAAGCGCAGGTAAAACACACCTAAAGTGCAAAAAAAACACAACTAAAGTGTATTCCACGTGCCAAATTTTTAGTGAAAGTATCTCTACGTCCAGTGTCCGGACCTAATAATTTTCGATCACTGTCGTATATCAATCAAACTGGTAACAGAGCATCTAAGGCATGTTCCTTGATTCAGGTGACAGCGCAGGACGTGTCAACGATGATTAGGCAAGGGCAGAACAGTATCATCTTCCTCATCAACAATGGAGGTTACACCATTGAGGTGGAGATCCACGATGGTCCTTACAATGTGATCAAAAACTGGAACTACACTGCATTGGTGGATGCCATCCACAATGGGGAAGGCAAGTGCTGGACTACAAAGGTGCATTGCGAGGAGAAGCTTATTGAGGCAATTGAGACTGCTACGAACGAGAAGGAGGACTGCTTGTGCTTCATTGAGGTTATCGTGCATAAGGATGACACCAGTAAAGAGCTTCTGGAGTGGGGTTCTAGGGTTTCTGCAGCTAACGCCAGGCCACCGAATCCACAGTAAACGCAATCTTAGTTGGATTGTAGCTTTTTATAATTTATTTCATTTTACATTATTTTATTCATTTTTATTCTTTATTGATATTATAAATATCAATATAGAATAAATACGGATCTTTTCGTTTAAAGTATTATCAGACACTCTCATCTAATCATCATCCCCTAAGTAGAGAAATTTTTCCTATCAAGGTACATTTTGACGAGTTCCTCCATGATTGAATCTTCTCTTTTCTTCTCTGTTTCATTTTCACTATTGCAAGTATTTGCTGTAAAAACATTGGAGTAATATGCAGATCCTTGAAGTTATTTCTGCTAGTACAAATATTTGATTTATATAATATTTTTGCTTCTTCCATCACTCTGTAACCGTTGAGTGTCTTGGATTTTATTTGAGACAGTTTTATTATTATTTTGCTTTTTAGACTTTGATTAAGATTTTATTTAAGCTGTTTTAAGAAGCAATAAGAAAATAGTCTCAAATGAATCCTAAAGTTTCTATTTGACCATAATATATTTACTACTTTCAAAAGAAAATTTTTATTATAAAGCTATTTTCTATAATAGTTTTTGAAAAAAAATTATTTTCTCTATAACAACTTTACAATCATTTTTATAAAAAACTATAATTCTTTTTTACTGTTTTTTAAAACAACTTTTTATTATAAAAATTAATAATTAAAAAAAATTATAATAAAAATTACTTTAAAAAATAATAAAAAAAGCTTGACTAAACAAAACATTAGATAAGCCGCTGGCTTTCAGGTAGTGAGCGCGGCTGCTTGACGAAAGGGTTCTAAGAGATTCTTGAACTGGCGATTACTTCGAGCTTCAGCTTATTATTAAGAGCACAGACGAGTGAACACGCTTCACAATTAATCTTTGCCATTTTTCTTCGAATACGTTCTCTTTGCCAATCAAAGCCAAACAAGTCAAAAAATTAAAATAAAACTTAGGTTCAAAATAACTTAGCTTAGCTATTATTGTGCGATGCTTCAACTCATAACTCTATAAAAAATATGAAAAAATACTAAGATTTTGTTTGGGATGGCTTTCTTATTGCTTCTAAAAACAGCTTTTTAATTAGAAAATTAATTTTTTTATTAGAAAGCTGCTTTAAGATGTAATAAAAAAACCGTTCCAAGTGAAGCTTAAATCAGCAGGTTGAAACTAATGGCCCTGGTGTGATCAGTAATTTGAGGCATTGCTGGGGCAGTGATCAAGGTGATTTTGAGCAAATTAGGGTCCGGATGGTAATTCGGATGATAGTTCAAAAAGTGGCTCGATCGATTTAATTGATTTCGAGGTATCTTGGTTTGAATTTGGATCGATCTTAATCTAACTCATTTTAATATAAAGCTAGCTCGAATGGAATTGCTCAATCACAATTTGATTCAAATCAAAATGAGTTGGCTCATTTTGACTGAGTCAAATTGGAATTAATGATTTAAATTTATTGTAAATAACCTAAATAGTTTAAATTATTTTATATTGAAATAACCTTTATAATTACAAATATTTTATCTTTACTTTCATAGATTACAATTCATTACACTCATAGTTTCCATAACAATTTTATTTTTACAAGTCAGTTCTCATTTTACCGCACCAATGTCAATTTGGCTTTCAAGATGCCGCCTTAGGGGGCATGTTTGACGACCTCGTAAAGTTGCGATAAATCAAATTTAAGAAAAAAAAATTCATACAAGACAATAATATTATTCAGAATGTAGGCAGACTAATCTTATGTATGAAATAAAAAATGAGATTTTTTCTTAGAATTTAGGCGACTACATTTATTGAAGATCGGAAAAATAGTTAAAATGATCTAATTAGGAAAAAAAATTTCAAGGTGGGCAATATTGTCCACTTTGAGCTCTTCTTGGTTCCACCCCTGCTCATACTTACATAATAACTGAAAAGTTCTCCTCCACAAGAATATCATACTGAAATTGATTTATTACAAGATGAAGATTTAAATGTACAGAAAAAAAAATACTGAAATTGATTGATAAAAAAGAGAAGAACTAAGAAAAATATAGTAATGAGGCAATAATTTGCAATATAATTGTAACAATACTATTAGATCTTTTGATAACTTATGAGATGAACGAATCCAGCTTTTTCATACATGCTTGGGATTGTTATTGGTCGTTTTAATTTTTTTTAAATGGATTAAATATTAAATAAATGCTGAAAAATACTTACAATTTGTAGCATATACTCATATCCTAGAAAAGATAAATAGTAACATCAGTATAATCAAATATTTCTTTCTTTATATAAGCAAATAAAGTATCATTCATCCACTGGTATCCAATTCTTTTTATGATTGTCATTGTAGAAAATGCTCTTTTTCAACTTCTACTATTGCACCCAGAAAAATTAAAGCTAATCTTAATAGCCTGAAAATAAGATGATATAATTTTTTTTTTTGTTTTGTATTATTGTCTCACTAGGCATCCAATTATTTTTAACAATGAAAATTATGGATGAAATTGCATATCCATGATATAATTATCGAACTGATTGTCAAAAATCGTCAAATCAACGTAAATAAAATCACATGGATAAAGATATGTCATTCGAATTAATCTGTCTTTATTGACCATGCTTCATTAAATCTTCATATTTTCGCTGTGCATTATTAAGCTTGTTATACCCCTCAACATGAAGTTCAAATTTATTTGATTTTTTCAAAATTGAAAATTCATTCTTATTAAATGTATAATCATCTTCATTTCCTCAACTTGCTACTTCGAAGAGAAAAAAATATAAATAATGTCTTATCTTGGCATATAATATGCTCTAATCCATTAGAGTATTTATCATACCAAGCTACATTGAAGCATCTATTTTTGGCCCCAAATTTAGTTCTAGAAAATTCATGATTGCGAGGCTGATATAGATCTCTTTGCAAGTACGACCCTCAAACTTGATCTTGAATAGTATGATTAAATTAATTCACAAATCAGGATCAGATTGAAAGTTGTCTAAATATGCTTCAAGATTTTTTAATGATTCTATTTCCACTCAGACATTTTTTCGATTTTGCTCTTCATTAAAATTTTTTTTTTTTTGCCTCATCTGAAGTCATTGATAAGCTTGATTTTAAAAACTTCTAAAAATACATCTTCATTAAATTTGTGTCAAATTAGATTATCTAGACAAGAAAGAAAGGATCTACTCATTGTTTTAACGAAGAGGAATATTATCAAACACCATGAGAGCATATTAAGTACAATTCAATTTCATAACAGGACAAACAAAATTGGAAAAAAAAAAAAAAAAAAAAACTAATATAAACTTCATTTTTCAATAAAAAAACAGGTAAATTTTGTTTCCATTACAAAATGTTAATATTATACTTGATTTCATTAAATTGTATAGCATAAATTTGCTGCATTTAGCAAATTCCCACAGACAGCCATCACTATGACGCACAATAATAAGATACATAACTCAACAATCTCGGATCTGGATTCCAGAAAAAAAAAAACTAATAAAATAATGACTTATGCATAGATTTATCAATAGGCAACTCCCACAACTTAAAGGAGCCGGCGATCGAGCAAGAGCAGGTGAATCACACGAGCAAGAGCAATGAAACACACGAGCAAGCCAATCACAATTTTTTTTTGGGGGGAATATTATAGCACGTATATTTCTAAAAAAGGAAATTACATGTATAAAAGAAAAATAAAAACCTGCTCCAACCAAAAGGAGCAGGAAGAAGAACTAACCAAAAGACCTTAAAACAAATAGAAGCAAGAGAGTAAAAAACCAAAACCTAGAGAAGGAAGAGGTGAAAAAAATGAAAAGGCCTCACAGAAAGGACTCAGCACATAGAAATTATCATTAGAATTAATTACCAGTCAAAAATTCACTTGGTTGCCTGTAGAGCCTCTAAAGGAAAGGAACATCATTGTCCAAGTGAGGGCCAAAAAGAACCCATGCAACACCCGAAGAGATGAGTGGCACAAAAACATCGTAAAAAACACAACCATTATAATAAATCCAGGAGCTCCAGACCAGTTTTCCACTTGCAAACCTTTGAGAAAATCACCCTTTTGATAATGAGGTAGATAGTGCAAGAGCTATTCACTGAATTTCCAAAGCGTCTCGCATTACATTCTTTCCAAACATAATACACAGTGCAACAATGCAGTAAGGGAATAAATATTTTTGACATCATTAGAGAAGCTAGGGAGTTCATAAATCCAACCCAATAACTGCAGCTAAGAGGGTTTTAGGAGAAAGTGTTAAATTGCGGAATGAGAGCATCCATAATAGAGAAAGAGTAATTGCACTCAAAGAAAATATGTCCGACACTTTCAGAAAAAGTATTACACATAGAGCACTTCAAATCAACCAAAATGTTTCTTTAGAAGAGGACATCAGCAGTTTTTAGCCACCTCATCAGAGTCATCCAGACCCAAATCGAATATCTCAGTGAACACTTTATATGCCAAATGAAGCCAGCACAATTAAATAAAGGGAGAGGTTTATAATATTCTTTGACAAAATCACCAAAAACTCATGCACCAAGATTGTTCCACAGCAGACAAGGCGCATTGTCCTCAAGAATGGGAATTATTTGGATTTCATCAGCAAGCATAGCGGGTAAGGAGTGGGGAATATGCCAAGCATAACCAGAAATAAAATCCTTAATAAAAAACTTAGAATTGAAAACTTGTAAAAGGTTGGAAGCATAATCAATAATAGCATCGCTATTAAACCAATGAACCCAAAAAAATAAATGTGAGAAGTCTGTGAAATATTAAACTTGAAGCAGCTTTTAACCAAACCAACAGTGGCACAAACAGATTTCCAGAAGATAGTTGCTTGAGAGTTGGGGGGCTTCCAAGGCGAGGAATACTTATTCATCAGCCAAGAAGCAAAAGACAATTTGCAATTATAAAGCCTGAGAATGACAGAGAAGTTATATCTGAATTGTAAAGCTAGAATAGAAGGCAAGCCAAGCCCTCCAGCAGATTTAGGCCTGCA